TAATATAATAATAAAATAATAATAATAAAATATGTTATAATAAAAATATATATAAATATAAAAAATAAAGAAACAGGATCAACACCGAGGAGTGTATCAATATTTATAAAAATAAAATTTTACAATTATTACAATTATTTATTTAATATAGTAGATATTGTAAAATTTAAAATTAGATTTGATTTAATTAATGAAATTCACATATTTATAATTGTCAAATTTCATATGACAATCAATTAGACAAAATTTGTTTGAGTTATATGAATTTCATTAATTGAATTATGATTTTTTGAATTAACAACATATAATATATAAATGGAGAAGACAAGCAATCAAAACTATGATCATCCCAGTAGCACAAATTATATTGAATCAAACTAATCAAACTGTTGATTAAATAAAATAAACAAACAATAATATTGTTTCACTATTTTTTTTTTATCTAGATCTTTCTAATTCATCAAGAAATTCTTTTTTATCACATGATTTACATGTAATAAAAAAAAGCCATTACGTAATGTAATTTAGTATACCCTATTTATATCCAATAGTCTTTGATAACATTGCCAATAAATCGCGTTTTACGATATACGTGAAGATTCCCTCACATTTCCATCGGAATAATTTTTTTGTTTAAGAAAAATGGACAACATACTTCGTTCACTTTTGGCTGCAAATAACCTCGATGATGCCGTAAAAATAAAGTTTGTTGAAAAACTTTTCACGACAGTTTATAAAATGGCAGAAAGTGAATGGAAGTTGCTCTGTGAATTTTCATATGAGCTTTTAAAAGAAGTATATACTTTATATATAAATCGTCTTTTGGTAAAGCTAACCATCTAAGAAATTAATTCTGAAACTTGACTTTATAACTTTTAAAGAGCTCTACTCGGTTACACGCCGAGATTGGGGAAATGATTCTTCGTTGGATAGCACACACCCAACAAAAAATATATTTAGATCATTTCAATTCAAGGGCGCTCGAATGTTGCTTCATACATGCAATCAGTGTGCGTATTTATTTAGTTAAGAAAATATTCATTACACTTTTAATTTTTTTTAAAAAAAATAGAATTAATATTTTGAATATTTTCATCTTTAGTCAACATTCCAGCATCTACGAGCAACATCAAAAGTAATCAAATACAAATATGGTACATGTGAATTCATATCAAATTTACAATTGGTTAATAGAATAAACATCATTTTATATTATATAACATATATTTCATTTGTTGCTTTTTAGAAATAGCAGAAAATACAGTGAGTGTTGAGAAAGACTTACGAATGTTGAGAAGTCAAATTGAAAAATATTATGATGTAATTAAAGGACGACGGGATTGGCAAATGTTGCTTGTAACTATGTTTTACGATCTACCGAAGTCAATCCCGTCAGATCGAAATATCGTATTAAATGTACGTTTAAAATGAGTTAATCATTATGTTATTTATAATTTTCAACATCACATTGATAAATATTTTAAATATTTTAAATATTTATTATTTTAACAGATACTCATTAATAGTTTGGCAAATTTAACTGATGAACCCACGGACGATTTTGTAAAAAAATCAGTTGATTTGATTGAATACTTATGGGGAGAGAGGTTAGAATATTATATAATATAATTTATATAAAAATTGTAAATATCAAAAATTATGTCAATTTATAATTTTCTAATAATAATAATAATAATAATAATAATAATAAAATGAATAGCTCAGATACGATACCTCTTTCAATAAATGAAATTTTCACGAAACTCACATCAAGTCAACAATGTTCGACACCATTAATTATTTTGATTAGCAAAATACCTATAGAGAAAACGTCAGGTAAATGAAATTCTTGATTTTTGAAAGTAATAATATAGAACGTTCACATTGAAAATCTATTAGTTATTTTACCATATCTCCAGAAAACTTCCCGCGAAGGTATTTCGCGGTTGGAAACAGGCATTCAGCAAATGATTCGAATAATACCACACCCATTATCAAAAAATATAGGTTCGTTTTTATTATATTTGTAATATCTTGTGATCGAAATTTCAATTTTCTCGTTTTACTGAATTTATATATCAAATCAATAATAGGAGTTTGGATCGTTAAATTAATGGAAGCATTAGTGTTCACGAGGAATATTGATTTATTATTGCGTATTACACGTACAAATGTCCTTACATGTAAGAGTTCATTTTAACTAGTAAAATTATTTTAATATTACTATTCAATTAATTTGATCATTTAATATTTCATTTAATATTTCATTTCTTTATCTTTTAGTGTTCAAATATTTGTTGACCCGTAAATCTCGTCAGGACGCATTATTAGTTATCAGATACACCCTATTAGGATATCAGGCAGCAAATGATGTGTTCCACACAATTGTCCCACTATTTCCTGATGTATTAGATGTTTTATTTCAAGTAGGTCTATATTAAAATTATTTTACAAGTAAATTGAATGAGTTATATCTAAAATTTCGTCTTCTATAAATTAGGATGGCGAAACAGATATTTTGTTGAAACTTTCTGGACTTGCGCAATGTCTTATGCACCGATTTCCAAGTCATAATGGAATATACATTCCTCTTACAAATAAATTAGATAGCCTGTCAATGGTATATTGTTTATCTTTATTATTTTTTCATAAAAAAATATTAAGATCAAATTTCTTTGGTACTATTAATTTTTTTTTTTTTTTTTTTCTCAGCCAAAACTCGATCCAAAGGAAATTATGCGTACGTTACAAGAAAACACATGGAATAAAAGAATATATTCTTCAGGTAATTATTTTAAGAAATCTACATTTTTCTTTTGCAAGGTCAATTTCTTTTACAAGTTATATTTTGATTAAGTTTTATTAAATTATTAAGGTTCCATAACAGAATCGGTTTACAGAACGGCATCTAGACCTTTGAAACCGAAAAAAAAGATTGGATTAAATAACTTAGGAAACACATGTTTTATGAATAGCGTAATTCAGGTATGAATTTACATTTATTATTGGTTAATTTTGGTTAATTTTGTTTTAGCCAATTATTTATATTTATCAATCAGTTATCTTATAATTGGTTAATATATTTATCGTTTAACAGGCATTATTTAATACAACAGAATTTCAACATCGTATATTACAAACTTCATGGTATTTTTAATTGACTTTTTTTTTTTTTTCTTCTGATATCTGCACAAGTTTTCTAAATATATTTATTTTTTTTTCTTTACATAGTCCCAGGATTAGAACTTCAACATTAAATCAACTTCAACAATGTTTTAACTCCTTGATGGAGGATAAAGCTTATATTTCACCGTCAGCATTATTGGAGGTCAGAATTCCATACGAGCAATTCAATATTAACATTTTTTTTTATAAAGTTATTTACAATTCTTAATTTATTATCAGACTTTACCTAAATGGCTTAATAATGGGCGACAACAAGATTGTCACGAGTTTCTAAAGTAAGTCACTACTATGGTTCTTCTAATGCTTTTATGGTAATTTGCTTTCTTAACCTTATTTTTTTTTTAAAAAAAAATTTTTTATAATAGAATTTTGTTCAGTCAAATTGAAGAAGAATCAAAACAATACATGTCCAATAACATTAAAAGAACTAAATTCAATCATCCCCAACGGATTAATACTAATCAACCTAATCAATCCGACATACCTATTTCACCATTTGGTGGTATTTTGGTAAATACAATTAAATGTTTATCTTGTGGAAACAGATCGAGAACGAAGGTATATTCACTTTCAGGATTTATTAATTCATTCATATCCTTTTTTTTTTAAAAAAAAAAATTGTTAAATATTCATTATATACAAATATTTATTTATTTTTAGGAGGAATTTCACGATTTGACTTTATCACTTCAAATTGAAAGTGAACGTAGGATATTCATTAATAATGATATGTTGATTTTATCATATAAAACAGTTATTTTGTCATCCTCGTTAATTCCTTTTTGATTTCTTATATTTTTTTTTTTTAGGTGAAAATCTTTCTTTTACCGATTTATTATCTGAATTTTTTTCCGCGGAAGAATTAAAAGGCGATAATCAATATCATTGCGACAAATGTAGCGGTTTGCAGGATGCATTGAAAGTTTGTATCATTTTATATATCTCTCGATAATAAAAAGATTAAAAAAAGATTAAAAAAGATTACGAAATTTTGTTGATAATTTCTAATTTTGATTAATAAAATAATAGACCACAAGAATATTAGTTCCTCCAAGATATTTAATATTATCACTTAATCGATTCGAATATGATAAGAAATATGCACGAAGAATTAAAATCATGACTCATGTAAATATTATAAAATTATCATTTTTATTTTTGATTATTATTTGGGTTAATAATTTTTTATAAAATTTTTTTCTTTTAAATAGGTTTCAATCCAAGATACTTTGTCATTGTCATACATTTTGAAAAAGGATAAGAATGTTTCAAAGGTAACACGAAAAAGTGCCAAACATAAAATCAATCATTATGTAAATGGTAGTGGTACCAATGGGATAATAAATGGTGTTAACGGAAATCATTTTAATGGTTATACAAATGGCATTACTAACGGCGTTGAAACTAATTCAACTAATTCAACTAATTTAATGAATACAACGAATGCAACGAATTCAGCGAATTCAATGAATTCAATTAATACAGCGAATTTAACGAATACAACGAATTCAACGAATACAATGAATTCTCTCGGTGGTGAAATAAATAGTGTAAATAGTGATAGTTCTAGTTCTAGTTCTAGTTCAAGTGGGACAAGTGGAACTGATGACAATGACGATGAAATAAATTTAGGAAAAGCTGAATATGATTTATCAGCGATAGTCATACATTCTGGTTCATCGGCAGAATATGGACATTATTATACATATGCCAAAGATGAAGGTAAAAATTATTTATAATTATTTATAATATAAAGTAAATAATTAAATAACTTATATAACTTTATATTATATATATATATATATATATATATATTTATTTATTTATTTATTTAGGAGATGGCACTTGGTGGTATTTTAATGATAGTTTTGTTAACACTTCGACATTAAAAAAGATTATTTCTGAGGGCGTTGATTACAAATATGATACACCTTATCTTTTATTTTTCCGACAAAAAAATTTGATAAATAATAATAATTCGGATCAATTAGTATTTAGTTAATTGGGGGGTTTTTTTTTCCTTTTCTGATAAATTTGATAAATTGTAAAATATATAATAAGGTTTATCATTTCCTAACTTTTTATTATTAATTTTTATTTGAGTGATGGAATTTTCGGTATATTGGAAACGAACAATTAGATTTTTTTTTTTTTAATTAAATATTAAATATTAAATAGAACTAGTTTAATTAATTACAATATGTATTTTTTTTTTCTTTAGTTCAATGGAGCTTGCTCCAATCTTAATTACAATACATATTGTTTTTCTGGATTTGTATAATTTGACAAAAAAAAAAATCATCTCCCACATCAATAATTACATATTTACATTATAAAAAAAAAAACAAAAGGAAGAAATAAAATAATAGTAATAATAATTAATAATAATAATTAATAATATTAATATTAATAATAATATTAATCAATTATCTATTGAATTAACTTAATTTTGTCTTCATTTGTTGCTTTTGAATTCATTAAACGATTAAGTTCATACATAAGAATATTTCCTGCCATTCCAACGTTCATTGAATTTACGTTATTATACATTGGAATTGAAACGCGTATTATACCCTCTCTTGCATCTCGATAAGTTACTCCATGCATCTTACTTCCAAGTACAAGTGCTATTTTTGAAGGTATCATATCGACAACCTCTTGTGTCATGGGATCCCAAAAACAAATGTTATTTGGTGATTTCGTCGGTATTATGTTATGAGGTAACGTGTCCGCAATAATTAAGGTTAAATTATTTTGTCTCGCTATATCATATACGTCTTGCCAAAACCCTATTTTCCATGGCCAATCCACTGATTCACAACTTGATGTTCGAATGACTTTATCATCGTATAAATCAACTGTACCTGCAATCGAATAACTTGCATCCCAATGTAAAGCTTTGGCTGAACGTATTAACATTCCCATATCTACCGGACTAGCGACATGATCTAATACCAATAATTTATTGATTTTTTCCGGAAATTGAATATTTGGAAATGGTAATTCTGCCCATACTTCTCGTGCGTCAACTCTAGCATCATTACCCAAAATTTTACGTGTCCATTCAACACTAGTCACATAATAACGTTCTGCTGGATATTTCTCTTTATTATTATAAACTTCTTTACATCCTCCTAAAAGTTCATCCGGTGAATTTATTCCATCATTCGTTGTGATACCAATACTTCTGACAGCGAATCCTCTTCTTAACATTTCTTGAAGATGTTTTAACCCATGTATCATTAATGATCTAAATTTTCTTCGTTTTGGATTATCTCGTCTTAGTTCTTCAAAATAAACTACCATATTCTGTCTAGCTCCTTCAATTCGTACAAAACCTGGTATCTCAATTGGTGGAGGTGGTTCAATTTTCTCTTTCTTTTTCCTTTTTATTTTTTTCGGTAATGTCTTATCATCATAATCACCAAAATCTGATTTAAATTTCCCTATTTCATCCACTTTATCAGTTTTTTTTAAATCTTCTAAATCCAAATTTTCTATTTTTTTACCAAAATCTTTTTTTGAAAAATTTCTATTTTCATTCCATTCTCGATTATCTTTCTTTGAAAAATCTTTACTTTCATTCCATTCTCGATTATCTTTCCTTGAAAAATCTTTACTTTCATTCCATTCTCGATTATTCGGTCTTCCTCTTTCAAAATTTGATCTCCTTTCGAAATTTGATCCTCTATCAAAATTTGATCCCCTTTCGAAATTTGATCCTCTATTAAAATTTGGTCCTCTGTCAAAATTTGATGGATAATTCCTTCTTGGACTACGGATATCGTTTAATTGACGATTATCGTAAAATGAATCCCTTCTGCTATTGGTTTCTAAAGTATCGTAGAAGCATTTTTGATTAAATTTATTAAAATTTATTCGACTATTTATTCTACTTAATCTAGATATTCTCGATTTTATAAAAACAACTGATATCATTTTTTTTTTAATCTAAAAAAAAAAAAAAAAAATAGATCAGAGATTATATATGGTTAAATCATCCAATCATATTTTAAGATTGTAAACATCGGGAAAATTGTGTAAAAATTTTTTCTTTTCAATTTCCTTGACAAAATTCAAGAATTGTGTAAATAACAAATAACAACAAAATGTTGAGGAATGCCGTACGCGCTACCTTGCCCCTAGTTTCAGCAATAGCTCGGCGGTCTATGCCTGTTGTACGTGTCTACTACGCAGTTACCTAACTGTTTTTTTTTTTTTTGCTTGAGTTTGTTGGTTATGGAATTGTGGGTTGTGAGAGAGATAAATGGTGTACAGTGGGTAACTGTGTAGGTGATAACAGGTAGAGAATAATAAAAAAATTTATCTGTTAAATTATTATATGTCAGTTGAATAATGCTAATAATTTTTAATTATGTTTAATTATTTTTTAATTATTTTAATTATTTTTTAATTATCCTTTTCATTATCTGTCTGTGAATAAAAACAGACATTAATTATTAAACGGCTAAAAATTAAACGAATCCGCGAGGCCCATTGCTTCGTGATGCTTTGTCATGATCTATCTATATAATATTCAACATCATTAAATAATTACAGGTTCACGCCAATACAGGAGCAGTAACAAGTATTGCTTCTCGAAGATATGTAGCCGTAAAACCATGTATTTATCGATTTAATTGAAAATTTTCGAATCAATTAGCTTAAATTAAGAAATTTAAAATTCATCTAAAATCAATTTAAAATTCATTTAAAATTCAATTTAATAAATTAAGCTACATCCGAAGTTTCCAATATCTTGGAAGAACGTATACTCGGAATTACTGGTGGTGGAGAAATTGAAGAAACTGGACGTGTACTATCTATTGGTGATGGTATTGCTCGTGTATATGGACTTAGAAACATACAAGCTGAAGAAATGGTGGAATTTTCAAGCGGTATAAAGGTAACTTATTCAGAGAAATTATTACATTATCATATTATTATATTCATTATATTCATTATAACATAAATTCAATATTTTAATTATTTTTTTTTATTTAGGGTATGGCTCTTAATTTGGAACCTGATAATGTGGGTATTGTCGTATTTGGTAATGACAGATTTATTAAGGAAGGTGATACGGTCAAGCGTACAGGGGAAATTGTGGATGTACCAGTTGGACCAGGATTATTAGGTCGGGTAGTTGACGCTCTTGGTAATCCAATTGATGGTAAAGGACCGATAGAATCTAAAGAACGAAGACGTGTTCAAGTAAAAGCACCAGGAATTTTACCTCGTCGTTCTGTTCACGAACCTATGCAAACTGGTATTAAATCAGTTGATGCTATGGTACCAATTGGTCGTGGTCAACGTGAATTAATTATTGGGGATCGTCAGACCGGAAAAACTGCAGTTGCTCTTGATACTATTTTAAATCAAAAACGATGGAATAATGGATCTGATGAAAGCAAGAAATTATATTGTGTGTATGTTGCTATCGGTCAGAAAAGATCAACCGTTGCCCAATTGGTTCAAACTTTGGAAGAAAATGGTATAAAAAGATTTCGTCAAAAATATATGGAAGATATTTTATTATTTTAAAGATTAATTATTTTGGGGGTTAATTTTGTGGAGAATTTTGTGATTAATTTTGTTATTTCAGATGCTTTAAAATATTCAATTGTTGTTGCTGCTACCGCTTCTGAGGCAGCACCACTTCAATATTTGGCTCCATTCTCTGGTTGTGCTATGGGTGAATGGTTCCGAGACAACAAAAGACATTCCTTACTTATTTATGATGATTTATCGAAACAAGCTGTTGCTTACCGTCAAATGTCATTATTGCTCCGACGTCCACCGGGTCGTGAAGCTTATCCTGGAGATGTCTTCTATCTTCACTCTCGACTATTGGAACGTGCAGCTAAATTAAATCCTAGTTTTGGAGCAGGATCCATGACTGCATTACCAATTATTGAAACTCAAGGTGGGGATGTATCTGCTTACATTCCTACTAATGTCATTTCTATCACTGATGGACAAATTTTCTTGGAAGCTGAATTGTTCTTCAAAGGGTTTGTATTATATTATTTTTATCTCGATTAACAATAATAATGTAATTTATGAACACAATTAATAGGAATTAGGGATTATTTTTTTCAGTGTACGACCTGCTATCAATGTCGGTCTTTCTGTAAGTAAACAAATTAAAATAATCTTTTAGTATAATCTTTAGGATAATATTTTTTGGGTTAAAAATAAGAATTTCTGATGTTTAATATCCATTTAACAGGTCAGTCGAGTAGGTAGTGCCGCTCAAACAAAAGCGATGAAACAAGTTGCAGGATCCTTAAAGCTTTTTTTGGCTCAATATCGTGAAGTAGCTGCGGTAAGCTATGCTCTTATCAAATTTGATATTCTTGATATTTATCATCAATTTAATTACCTGTATCTTTATATTTTGGGATATAGTTTGCACAATTTGGTTCTGATTTAGATGCTTCAACACGCTTCTTACTAAACCGTGGTGAACGATTGACCGAACTTTTAAAGGTAACTTCAATTAAATTTTAAACTTTATTATTAGTCGTTATGGAGAACTAAAAATATTAAAAATTTAAATGATGTAATTTTATCTTAGCAACCTCAATACAAACCGATTCCCACAGAACATCAAGTTCCTTTAGTGTTTGCAGGTGTTCACGGGTTTTTAGATAAGATAGATGTCAAGCGAGTTACAGAATTTGAATCTGCATTAACTCCATATTTGTTATCAAATCACCCTGATGTAATTGATACTATTAGTAAGGAAGGGGTTATTTCTGAAGCCACAGACAAAAAATTGCGTGCAATTTTAGATGAATTTTTGAAATCTTTTAATTAACAAAAAAAAAAATTAACAATCAAACTTTTTATTAAATATTCGTCATTCTCCAATTCTTTTTTTTTATTTTAACTTATGAGCAAATAGATTATTTAACATTGTTCTTGTTATTTGTTATTACTAGTAATTTGTTATTAATACTGTAATGATATGAATATTTAATTTTCTTTGCCTATCATATAAATTTTATTAAATTTATTATAATTTATTATAATAGATGTTTGTTTATAAATAAAATTAATTTATCGATTTATCAGTTGTATAAGATTCTATAATATTCACGAAATTTTGATCTGGTTCATCTTTAAAAGAAGAATCATTAATCAAGATTTTTGGATCTTCTACACCACGGGGTGTCAAAATTTGAATTGTAAATATCATGTGATTTATGGCCGGTATTACAAGATGAATTATAATTTTAGAATTAAATTTTTATTATTCCCATTAAAATTTTAATATAATTATTAGCTCTTTCATCCGATTCATGGTCATCCCAAGTTATTTCTTCATTATTATCATCGTTATTTCATTACTTTTCTCCCATTAAAACATTTTTTATTATTTAAGTTCTGTAATCTATTATACTAAAGGGTATTACTTTTAAAAGGGGCGATACCTTTTTAGGTTTAAGTTATCAAATTACGATTATATTTAACCTAATATAGAAAGAGTAGATAATATAGGATACAGTGCACAATTTCAACCCTTTTTTGGAACAATTTTTTCAATTATAACTGTGTAATAACAACGAGTTTTTTCTTCGAATTTAAGATATAAGGAAAGTTATAAGTATTTAAAATTTACTATTTATTATTAACAATCGGAAACATAGATACCATGCACATGCAATGAATTTCATTGGTAAACTATAATTCATACACGTGAGTTCGATTTTGATTGGTTGAAATAGATGACCTAATACACTTCAACATAATTTTTTTATAATATTGTCTGTATGTATTGTATGTATTAATAATTAATATGTTAAATAAGAGCGTCCTTATTCTGGACCCCTGGTTCAGGGTGAAATTTATGAACCCCCGGGGTTCAGGCAAATTATTCTAAACCTCATCCTTTTTAGTAATAAAAATTTCCAAAATTAGGGTCTAAGATTTGATTGGAAAATTTCACGAAATAATTATCATTTTTTTAGTCATTTTTTATTTTTTCAAAACTCCAAGCAATATAAATTAATATACCATAATATTTTTTTTTGTTCCAATTGCATTATTATTTGGCACTATTATTTATTACCCTCTAATTTTTATACACAAACTTTATTTATAACCCTTTTATTAAATATTTATATATTTATTTACAATTACAATCGTATATTA